TACACGTTAAAATAAATAGTAAAGCAAGAAATCGAAGATTTATTATTTTCATGTAAAATGGATTATGTTTTTACAATCATGAATGATAAATGTTACTTAATACGCAGTGCCTCTGCAGCAATTACTAAAAAGGGTAACCTGGAGGCATCTTTTAACTATACATAACAAATATCAGGCAGATTAGGGAAAAAATAGGGATCTTAAGGCTTAGTTAAGAGCTTAATTATAAAATGTTTTTATAAAGGCCATATTGAAATCACATGCAGTGACTCTTGCATTGCTCAGTGTAAGCCATTTGTTAGCAAAAAATGTAAATCACTTTCTAATGGGGAATAAGAAATTTTCATGGAAATCACAGATTCACTGTTTAATGATTTAAGATCAAAATTGAAACTATTGGTGCAATTAAAAATCTACAATTATTTTGAAATAATGTGATGTGACAGATTGAGAAAATAAGTGAAAATGTAAGAGAACAGGTATATAATGACATTAGTAGACATTCATGTTTTCCCCTTCAGTTTGATGAATTGGCAAATGTAAGCGACACAACACAATTGCTTATATTTATTCATGTGGCATTAAGAGATTATACTTCTAAACAAGAATTGTTTGGTATAATTTCTCTCTGAAAGAGAGAACTAGATGTATAGATATACTCAACTTTTTAGAAACCTTTCTCTTTAATTTGAAACTACAGTCAAAAGTCGTTAATCCGGACTCGTCCGGACTTCGGCGATTCCGGATTATCGATTTTTCCGGATCTATGAAATAAAGAACAATTATGATCTAAAGGGTATCAAAATTTACAAAAAGAAAAAGCTTAATATTTATTTTTTTACTTTATTAAACATTTCTTTCAATGTAAGTTGCTTCGTTTCATGTGACAATACTTTCTCTTTAATTCTATTAAACAGACATAATTCTTGTTTAGTACAAAGTTCCGCTGTTCAAGTCGTATAATTGCTGTGTTGAGAATACGACTTAATTTGTCAATCGAAATGTTTTTGTTTTAATAACCTCTGGTCCCTTCTTCACTATCGGAAGCAATTAATTATAATGACGAGGAACTTGATTTAAATCATATCAAAGACGGAGTACATCGAGATGAAATACTACATTAGTAAGGAATTATAAGCCAAATAAAATAAAAACATCTGCCCTGAAGATAAGGATAGTGCTGACAGATCAACTTCAATCCGCAGCGTGAAATTGATAAACCAGATTTCGGATTTCAAAACATACTTTCGCTTTGTAGATACAAATTACATATTAGTAAATTTATATCGGAAATTCTATTTGACATAATCGAAAGTTCAAGCTTACTTTTATGAAATTGCTCTAACAGTCTGCAAAAAAAAATAAGCCGGATCCAATTTGAAGATTAAGGAACAACGCAATCTGCAACATTAACTGAATTAGATAATTTTAGCTTAGCTTATACCTCCGTTACACATTAAACGCGCATGCGCACAAACATATTTGCAGCCGTAAAGGTCTTACGAGCACTCTTAAATGCCTGTGCGCATGCGTGAACGCGATGCATGCGTAGAAGGTTCGTAGTTTTGAGGTCCGGATTATGGGTGTCCGAATTAATGACTTTTGACCGTATCACTTTTTAAATTAGTTTCACTTGCAACAGATGAAGCAGGAGCAATGATATGGCTCATAAGTAAATTTATAAATGGCAAAATCATGACGAATTCCCATATTTTTTTAGCTACCACTATATAATTCACCAACAAGTGTTAACCAGAAAAATATTAAAAAAGAAATAATGAGAATAGTTTTCAAAATACTAATACAGTTCCCAACTAAGACAGTAATTCAAGGCAGTCCCCTCAAACAGTGTCTCTTCCTGTTGCAACTTGATTAAGAGCAGAATTATTATTTCATACTGATGCACAGTGGTTAAGGAGAAGTCAGTTTCTGCAATGACTTCATGACCACTAGAATAACTAAATTAATTTAGGTAAAAAAAATTCTGCAAGAGCAAGATCGAGAATATGAAAATTTAAATGATGAAATTTGGCTCAGTAATCTAGCATTTATTACAAAACTTACATCAAAATTGAGTGATTTATATTTAGAAATGTAACACTTGCCTGGGGCTTATTAATCTCACTTGCAAATTAAATTGGGTGTTACATAGATTTTTTGGGCGAGTCGTCACCACTAGAATAACTAAATTCTTAAAGCCACAGATGCAGATATGCTTTAAATATATTCTATCTCACCACTTGCAAGGGCTAAATTAAAGTAATGCAACACAAAAGTGAAAACTGTTCCTATTTACAGTATTTAACTTATTCTAAGAGAGGTTACAACATTTACCTAAGATCTAACAGTGACTTTCTTAAAATTCTAACTTACCAAACCAAATTTATCTTGTAACTGTTAGTCTGAGACAATGGCACCTGACCAGGAGAGAATTTCTGTGGCAGGTTTAAATGCTGAAATTCTCACATATTGGCTGTTAGCTAATCTTATTTTATAGTAGAACTGCTTGCCCCTCAAATCTACTTAAATTCTAGAACTAGCAAACCTCATGGTGAAATGAGGCAAAAGATGTAAATTAAATAAAACTTGTTAGCGAAACTTAATTGTTATGCCACGTGAGGAAAAATAGACGATGCAATAACTGAACTAATCAGTAGCATTATTGAATACAAAACAAAATTTATTATACAAGTAGAAGAGCTTCAGCAAAACCGTTTGCACCTTCTTTCCAGATATATTTGATTACACATTAAAAGATCAAAATTATAATTACAACACTGAGAAATACGTTACAGAAATTAAAACTGAAGTGACTGAATATTTTGCAATCCTGTATCATGATTTTGAGAAGTTATTGTGTAGTATTTGACATTTCTTTTTTGAAAAGGGTTTAAATACAAAGCATATTGCCACAAATATTTCTGATACATTTAAAATTGGGGGGGGATGAGAAAATGAAATTATAACTTTACCAATAGAGAACTTTACAACCCAGAGAGAACAAGAAGAGGATTTTAGGAAATAGTATTATATAGATATACTATTAGAAAATAGTATACAATATTATTAGAGATATATACGACATATAATATAGGGAAATAGTATTGTATATTGTGTAGATTTTAGGAAATACATCGGTCTAGAAAAGTATCAGTACTGTTTTATCAGGGGGCTGGGTCCAGAAATGTGTGTGTGTGATTATGGCAAAGCTTCGAGGGCTATCTGCCTAAAGGGAGGATGCCTTCATGGATGAGTTTCTAAGGGAAACTGACTCGTATACACGTTACACATGGAGAAAACCACGAAAACGCCCATGCAGCCAACCTGTTCGCAGGATTCGAACCTCGGACCGAACTACCAGGAGTACGCAAGATCAATATTTTATATATGTATGTAGATACACTTTCTGGTCAATGAATTAGAAGCCCAAGATCAATATTTTATTGGAACACCTTTTGCATGATAACTGCTCTGATTTGTTTGGGCATCGAGTCTACATGCTTTTCGGAGTGCATTTACGTTCAGAAGAATATCATGCATTTGGCTATGCAGTTTTCTAGATCATTGTAAATTAGATGGAAGTGGAGAGTGCTGTCGGATGCGTCTTGCACCATATCCCACACATTTTCTATGGGGGTTAAGATCCGGGCTATGCCAGTGACGAGGGGAGGTGTTGGATGTCAGTCTGATGTTCAGCCAACCAACTTTTGAACACTTCTGGCCTGACATATAGGTGCATTAATCATCCATGAAATATCTGTTGCCATCAGGGTAAAAAATGACACTTAATCTGTCAATATATTTAGGTATCTCATGGCTGTTTGTTTACTCTCGAGAAACACCAGGGCAGCACTTCCATGCCAGCAGAACATGCCCCATATCATGATACTCCCACCAGACACTTCCACAGTTGCAAGTAAAGCTAGGTGGCTTCATGGCTTCGTGGAGTTCTCGTCAAATTCGAACATCTTTGCATCAGTGCAAAATAAGGTGTAACGTGATTCTTCCGTCCACATTACCCATTTCCAGTCCTCAGATGTCCAGTGTCTTCTTTCCTGACACCACTGCAAACAAATTCTTGAGTGTTGGGCAGAAATGAGTGGTTTTTCTCACAGGCACTCAGCTATGCATTCCTATCCTTTGTGCATGGTTCGAGCTGAAATCTGTTGGGAAGAGCCTTGGTTGACGATCTGTGTCAACTGAAGCATAATAAAGTCCTGTTCAATTCTGCCGTACAATTGATCAAAGACACCATTGATCACTCGCTTAGAAAACTGTGCTCAAACTGCAGTTACATGTTCTAGAGAAGGACTGTGGGTTCTGATACCAACTTTTGAAAACCTTTGATATGTCTGTTTTTAAGAATGAAATGATATTTTCTGTCTTCAAAACCAAGGCTTCTGCTAAATGTGCACCAACAATAAGCCCTTTTTCAAATCATGAAAGATCTGTCATTTTCCCCAACTTACTTCATTCATCGTGAAGAAAGAAACTTGAAAGCACATGAAATCGTAAAATCGTGGAAAGCACTCTTACACCTTACTTATACTTGCATTCTAGCCACGTGTAACGCACGTCATAAAAAAAAATTACATACTTCATCCCTAGCACACATTCAAATGGAAATCTCAAAGGTTTCTAATTCATTGGCTAGTGTACACACACATATGCATGCACATACATACACACATATACTTCTGAATCTGGTCCTGATAACAGAAGAGTACCGAAGTATCTCAATATCACCAAATGATGTGAATATATCTACTCTTTATTTTAGGTCTAGATACTTATACATATTTAAAATTTACACATGCTAAACATTTTACCCTACTTAATGATTGTCACACTGAAGATTATTATCATTATACATGTCTGAATACACACCAAATCATAAACACTTGCAAATGCAGATTTCCCATTAATGATAATAAAGTATAATATAATCTATTTTTTGTAGCAAATTTTCTATTAATAAATATTATTAATGAAATATCATGTTGGTTTTATACACACTTTCCATCATCATTTATTAATACACAAGATACAAGTTTGAATGTGTTAAAAATGTCAAATGAAATGCAGTTAGTCTGTCGACTTGGCTACTTGTTTTCAATCATAAAATGTCCAAGCCCATCCATTTCCTGCATTCATATTTACTCAAGTTGAGCATCAGCTCTGAAAATGTACTATGAACAGAATGCTTCACAGACCTTATAGCAACCAGTGTGCTACATATATAGCATTACTGTGTATTCGCAAACTCTTATGGACGGTTCTTTTTTGAGGGGCTGCACTTCAATACTAGAAAAAAAAAAAAAAAAAAAACTACAGAAAGGGGATCATGGCAGAAAATAATGAATTTCTTGACATAAAAGTGATAATGTATAGATTTTTTTTTGTTAAAAATAAAGTTAATGGAGCAGGAAACTTAAAAATTTTGTAAAGATGTAAATAGTGAAATTTGCATTTAATAAGGCAATGAAGTCACAAAACTTTGGAATTAAAAACATTTGTTTTCAGGTCCACCTTGGTAAAGTGACATTACTTACCATCATATTTCCTTTTTATTGAAACAGAGTATGATAATGGTGACATTTATGAATTAAATATGAATATAGTAGTAATGCCGAAAAATTGCTTCATTATGCGAAAGAAATGAGCAAATATCTGAAGAACTTATTGTACATGATGATGGCAAATTTCAGTGAACATTATTTTTTAGAGGAACAATGATAAAAGTCATTGAGTAGTCATTGATTGATTGATTTAAATCAAGCACAAGAAGATTCTGATCATGCTGGTTACATAGAGAATATAAAAATACAATTTGAAAATAAGTTTCTCTTTCGGAGAAAAATGGGTGCTTTTGTATTATACACACACATGCGTATATACATACATGCATATGAATCCAGTCCCGACAACAGAAATATACCAAAAAATGTTTGAAACTTTTTAAATGTTTGGGAAGAAGTAACTAGATATAATTTATAGAAAAATATTTAAAAGTTTTCTTTTAAGTTTTAAAATAAGTTACTAGAAAACAAATGTTAGAAAAAAGTAAAAAATAAACTTTTATCTTTAACTATGTATTTTATATTAATTATCTTTTTATATAAATCTTGTTTTTCCCTATAAAAATATAAAAAGAAATTAGTTGCTTTTTTATTCTGTGTTTTATTATCAACATTCTGATCAATATTCTGATATCAACATCTTTTCGTAGCTAAATCTATATATTTTTCTGTTATCTTTTTACGAGTCCTGAAATCTGCAGAATTAAAAAATCTACTAAACTTAGTATGAAGCTATGCCCTGTTTCTATTCTTCTGCTCTAATTCTTTTTTTTAAATGCAGAAATGTTATGTAAGCACATTTGTGTAAATAATTATAGATAAAGTATCTTTTGTTTTCCTAATTTAAGAAATGGTTTAAAACATGGAACAAAGATGTGGCATGTCAAATAGCTGAATTTTGATTTGTTCCAATTAAAATTAATTTTGAAACAAGTTAAATTTTTCTTCAAGCATATATTTAAATATTTAAAAGAACAAAAATGGAGCTGCTTGTGAAAATAATTAAATGACCTTAAAAATTAAAAGACTGTAAATTAATTCATGTTTAAACATTTTGCAAATGAAGTTTGAAACATGACATCCATAGTTCAGAGGTATCTAATTTTGGTTTTATTTAACAATCAAGAAAGAACTCGAGTCTTATTCAAAAACAATAATAATTGAGAATTTTTAAATATTTTAGATTAAAGAATTTAGCTTATCAAGGAAAGTTAACACTTTTTAATGAATTTTGCACATATAAAACATTTAGTTTTATTTATCAAAAGTTTCCAATCAAGTCTGAGTAGTCAAAGATCCATTTTATCTCTTGTTTGCTTGTTTATTATTTTGGGCAGTTTATGATGTTCACTTATGAATAGTAAAAGAAATAAACATTTCTCATCATGAATGTAACACCTGTTTTAGTTGTCTGCTCAGAAGATTGTAATAAATATTCTGTTGTCTAATTGAGTTCTAAACTCTTTCACAATTTAAATAAAATTCTTCTATTTTTAGTGCATGGCATTCCGTGATATCAACCCACAAGCACCTGTTCATTTTCTAGTTATTCCTAGGAAGATCATTCCTACATTAAGTGATGCCAGTGAAACTGATACTGAGGTTTGTTGAAATAATTCTGATGAGATACAATTAAGATTAAAAGTTATGTATGATATTCCAAGTGTATATCTGTTGAGTTTGTAAAAGTTTTTCAATACAATTAAAATATTTCACTAATCTTAGTCAAGATTGAAAGTTATGCATAAAAACAAAATAAATTCTTAAATAGTCATATGGAAAGTTTATGGACACTATAGAATGTAAATTTTTAAATAAAACTGAAAGATTGTTTTGCCGCTATTTGATGATTTATGTCACTGCTAGTTTTTATTTGGTTAATATATCTCAGAATCCGAAAAATGAATGCACAAATCCAGTGCTTAAATTGCGCCAGAGCCCGGCTTCCATGCTTCTCAATTTTTAAGATAAATTACAATTTTAGCCAGAGCGCACTAGAGCCCTTAATAAGATGAGCTCCGGTACTTCTCTTTATAAAACTGAACCACAATTTAAAGGGGGAAAATTTAGAATTCCTAACGTTTTAGTTTAACAACAAGCAGACTTTGCAATACTCTATTTCCCTAGAAATACAAACTCACGAGAACATGATATGTTCAAGTAAAGTCCCCTCACTCGCATGTGAAAACTTTCCCTTTAAGTAAAGCAATAAATTTGGGGGAGTTTGTTTAGGAACGCGTAAATTTCTCACCATGCTGTCGTATCTAGTATATTGTTATCGATGCTTACAGTTAGTTATCCTTGTAGGAAGGAAAATTTGTGTTCTTAAATGTGCGTTAAGTGACCGCGAGTACAATAAAAGTGAAATACTGAGAAAAACTGCTCAAGCACGACAGTATCCACTTATGGGGGGGGGCAAAGCGTAACCAGCAACTTTTACATTCATCCTTAGAAGTCAGAGTCAGGACTCATTTTACCTCTGATACACATCTGCTTGACGGCTATAATTTTATCAGCAGAGAGCGGCGGCCAAAGAGAATATTCTCTCTCACCAAGATTCCCCTCATTTTTTGTTTCCAACCCCATGAACCCTCATCTGTTTGCAGCTATAATTAAGTATATTTAAATTTGTTTGATGATAAAAGAACTCCCCTCCCCGAAAAACGATCAAGCTTAAATTGGGCGGAGCCCACTGGTCTCGGTCCGTGCTCTTAGTTTCGTAATAAATCATAATTTAGCGGAATGACCGGACCCTGATAGAGGCTGCGGCACTTCTTGATGTAATTGAATACAATTTCAGTGAAATTTTATTGAAAATTTATTTTAACAATAAAATTATATTAAAAACCGCTATTAAATTCAATTTATCTTCATTTTTTAATTTTAATTATATAATTAATTTAATTATTTCAATAAATATAATTAATTATCTATAATTACAATTAAAATTATATTAATATATAATAATATATATAAATAACATTATAAACTTATTAAATAGCTGTCAATTAATTGATAATAAACTCTTTAATTTTAAATTATTAATGAGTTAGTATCATTTTATTTATTTACTTACTCTTGTTCCTCTTTGCTGACAGTCTTCCATAGGGCTCCGGCACTTCTAATCTTAGAAATTAATGCACAAATCTAAAGAGGTAAAAAGGTTGGAAATGAAACTAACCATCTGGAAGATGGTCTAAAATTACGTTAATCATTAGTTCTTATAATTTATCAACTAAAATTATTTAAATTCTTATGAGCTAAAACAACATTAATTGCTTATTGTTATAAATTTCTGTAAATATTTGAATGTGGTTGATTTTATTGTTGTTTTTATGTCTTGATTGTATTTATTTACTCATTTGTTTATTTTGTTAGGCAGTCATTTTAGGATGTATTTTTTTATTCTTACGTATTATCCCTGTCGTCTGTGAAACTATCTCCAAGAAGTGCAATTTAGTGCCAGTTATGGATAAGCGAAACATATCAACACACTCATATCATATTGATCTTGCTGATTTAACCCTGTTTGATTCCTGATAGCCATGTTTTGTTTTTATGGACAAAGATATAGATTAATTGCTATTGCCATATTTTTTCATCCAGTTTGAAAAATGATTCTAATTTGAGTTGCATTCTACAGCAGTGGATTATTTTCAAAATTATGAGATACTACCATAAAAAAAGGCTGTATTAAAGAACACAATATGGTCAGCTGAATATGGCCACCAAAATAGTAATAGATTAGAATAATTACTTGTAAGAAGTTTGTTCGTATTACATTCCAAACTGAGCATCTGGTAAAAAAAAAAAAAAAAAAAAAAAAAAAAAAAAAACCACTTTTTACGAAGTGCAAAACTGAAGTCAGTTACTAGTTGTTTATTAAATAAAGAGGCATCAGTTTCTTGAGAATTCTTGGCACAACTTTGACAAGATCTCTGCCAACTTTCATGGTTCAGCAGTAGACAATTTTCATGATTGATGAGATAATACATTAAGTACCTATTTTTGTATAATTGAATTTGTAGCTATGTATTTTGTATATAAATGCTTATTTTCTGTATCAAATTGTAGATCTTGTGATTCTGAATCCAACAATGTTTAAATCATGAAAATAACTAAAAAAAACCTTAGATATTAGGCAAAAATTATTATTAAGTCCTGATAATAGTTTTTGTTGCCAATTTGTCATCAACTTTGTGATTTTTTGAAAGTTTTGAGAGAACAAATTTTTAAGCCATAGGAACAATTTTTCCTGAAATTCCCAAATCCCCAGCTAATAATGTAATAGTACAGTTCTGCGTGACTTCAAAGAGACTGCAGTTCAGAGAGTTTGAATTGCATTTTAGAGTTTATTAAAAAGGCTGTATTAAAGAACACAATATGGTCAGCTTGCATTTTAAAGTTTATTAAAAAGGCTGTATTAAAGAATGCAATATGCTCAGCTTGCATTTTAGAGTTTATTAAAAAGGCTGTATGGTCAGCTGAATATGGCCAACAAAATAGTAATAGGTTGGAACAATTACTTGTAGGAAGTTTGTTCTCATAGCATTCCAAACTGAGGAATAATTTTTCCTGAAATTCCCAAATACCCAGCTTGTAATTGTACAGTTATGAGTGACTTCAAAGAGACTGCAGTTCAAAGAGCTTGAATTGCATTTTAGAGTTTATTCTGTTTATTCTGTAAGTGTTATTGAAAATCTACGGCACTTTCCTTGTGATATCGGTAATCTACGATATTTCTCATGTGTTAAGAATGGTTTGCCTTTTCTCCAAGAGATTCAGTTTTCTTTAGAGATAAGGTTATCCAGTTTCCCTTAAAAAGTCCTCCTTGAAGGCATTTCTGCCCTTAATCATCTTGTGCTTTTTTGTAATAAAATAATCTAACTTAATATCTGATATCTATGTTTTAGATTATTTACAGTAGTTATTTTTGCTACATGCATTATATGTTGAATATACTGAGCACTGAGCATAATGTTAGACATAAAATTCTAAGACTTTGTATGTCACGAACAATAAGACTGAGAAGCACAGTTTGAAAATTTCAAAATAAAAATAAGAAATTCAAAGAACATTTCGCATATTGTAAACAATAGTATTCCGGTTAAAAATACCACACCGAGCATAAGGAAGTTTTAATATAGTATAACCTTACGGTGTAGCGTTCTGATAATTGGAAAATATTGTCACTAGGAAGCCAAGTTTCATTATTATAGCAAGCTACTTTTGAATCCTGTAAATAGCAAAGTTGTTTTAAGTGATCACATGCTAAGCTAATAATTATTTAGAAATAGATCTGCATGAACTAACAACATTCTAACTCTTATAAGCTTTTAACAATATTATATGCTTCATCAATTTTATTTAATTTTTAATTTATTTAAAATTTTCAAAAATCTCAGTGTAATTGTCTTATTTATAACTGTATTTAAAATAAGCTATATTTATTTTGTATTTCATTGATATGATTCCATTAATTATCATCGGTTAATTTCCCCCCATCCCAGTGTTTTTTAAAAAAGCTCGTAAATTTCCATATATACAGTACAAAGTCCATAATCTGGACTCTCGGGACTTCGGCGATTCCGGATTAAGGCTTTTTCCGTATTATAGATCATCAATTTAACTTGGTAAGATGGCATGGAAATTATTAACAAATAGGAATGTAATTATGAAATAAGAGCAATTATGATCTAAAAGGTATCAAATTTACATAAAAAGCTTAATTTTATTGCTTACTTATTAAACATTTCTTCAATGTAAGTTTTTAATTGCTCGTTTTTTGTGCTAAAGCGCATGCTGAACATTAAACGCGCATGCGTAAAGCGTACAAAAAAAGTTTGTGGCTGGGGTCCGATTATAGATCATTCCGGATAATGGACGTCCGGATTACAGACTTGCAGTTAAAAATACATTTTTCATTTTACAAATTTCATAATTCTTAAATAAATTTTAGTTTTCTATTTTAAATATGTGAATTTTTTAATATTTTTGTTTATTTCTAATATTTAAGTAATATAGCATTTAATGGGACTTAAATGATATTGCAACCATTTTAATAGAAGTCGCCAGTTTTTCAGAATATGCCAAGCTTTGGCAACAATGCACATAACCAACCATTCTTCAGGTAACCATGCTCATAACAGTTCTTCAGTCAAGCAATGTTGTTATTTTTGTATGCATTTGTTTAGTTGTAGTCCAAGTTCCAACTGTTTTTATAAATAAATTATGATGTTTTTTGCCTTAAATTGGATTTTAAAGTATGCACGTATAAAATTTGCATCCAACAAAAGAAACTTCAGTAAAATTTTATGCAGGAATACTGAATTTTGCCACAAAATCTCTAAGGAGAATAACAGAGAGAAGAATTTGGAAGATAGTGTGTGTTTTTGCAATTTGAACAAAAAGTTTATGTTGCTGAGATTTGTGTAGCGTTGAGTCTGTACAATTCTAATTTTTTTAAGGGAAAACAGATCACTTTGCACTTTGCGAGAAGAATAGTGCAAAACAATTACGCACATATTAGAGGAAGAATGTGTTTTTTTTCCTCATTATGTATTCCTATTTACATTGTAACTAAAATTAATATTTTAAATTGCTGAAAGGTATTTTCTATTCATATGTTGATAATGTTTACTTATATAGTAAATATCAATGGCTCAGAAATCTTTTTTAAAAAAGTCATGAAAACCACCAGCTTGCACACCAATAAGTAATTTTTATCTTGTTCCAATGCAACTAGTTATAACATATCTTTCAATCACCGCTCTGTTACTTTTTATTTAAAATTTTGATTTTGTTCATATATAATGTGCGAACTTTTCAAAAATACTGAAGAAGTGGAAAACTGATGTATGAAAGGTATGAAATTTGAAAAAAGTAAAAATCTTAGCTTGGCATAAATTTTGTAAAAAAAATTCTTGTTGCCAAAAGTTATTTGACATCCCGTCAAGGAGAAAGCCATAATAAAATATGATAAATAATAAATAAATAAATAAAATTTCCTAATTTCCATTTGCTATAAGTATGAATTTGACATATGGAATAAAAATTATACATATTTTTCGAGCATTTAGTAGGGCTATGGTTTCATTTAGTAGGATATTTAATTTCATTCATCCTTTATTGTAGAAATAATATTACAATTCAAAGATGCATAAAATGTTGCAAGGAAAAGCCATACCAACCAACAGGAAAAAACTGTGTTTAGTAATCTGTCATTTTAAGAAGTTTTCATTTCAAACATAGGTAAAATTAACAGAGTTCTTTCATAAAATAAAATGTTACCTTTTTTACTTGGCAATTTTTATGCAATACTTAAGAATTTAAGCTGTATTTTCTAAAATACCTTTTTTTATATGTATAGCTTTTAGGGCATCTTCTGCAAGTTGCAAAAAATATTGCCAAAACTGAAAATTTATCAAATGGATATCGAGTTGGTAAGTTATATTATGCTTCTTCAGTTATTCTTTGTTATAAAGAATATGTGTGGAAACTCTTGACAAACTTGAAGACCACACGCAGGTGTGAATGCATTAATTCTCTAAGAGGTAAAAAGATAATAATAATATTTCAAATAAGATAATAATAATAAATATAATAACTCAACATTACTAAAATTAGTGGTGTTGAGTAATGAGGGACCTTAGAATATTAAAAAATACATTGTGAGAGTCATGAGATTACCTGAATTATTATTCAGTTGCTTACAGTAGGAGTTGATTGTGACTGCTGTATGCAAAATGAATCTTTACACAAAGTGACGGTGAATCTTTGTATACTTATGATGTTCATAAAATCAAAATATATGCACAATTGGCAAATCAGCATCTTACTGATTTGTACTGCTTTAATAAATTATATACCAGATTTCAGAATTCTGACAAAATGCTTGCAAAAGTGCAGTAAATAGGCAGTTATTTATTTATTTTTCATTACTACTAAGTATAATAAATAATACTTTTTAAAAACCTTTAGTCATACTTAGTATCTTGAAAATCTAGTTCTAGCTCATGAATATTCCTGAATTCAGATATGCACCTTTCATTGATATGAAGTTTGGCCACTAAATTATCTTCCGTGCAGCTCAGATTATGCAAATGTTAAGTTAAGCTTGAATCAAGAAGTGAAAGTTGCTACATCCACTATCTTAATCTATTTTTAGAAAATAGTCTAACTTCTGTTTGACATACTAGAGCACTTCTTGAATGGTGTAAACGCTACTATTTCTAAAAGGAGGCACACTTAAATCTGAATAGTAACACTGATTTTGATTCTGAATTCTGTCCATGATCTTTCATAACAGCTGTAATACTATATAAAACGACTGAAGACTATAATTAGTCGGGCCTCTTTACATATTAATACTATTACCTTGTGCTGTGATTCCTAATGTTTTAAAATATTCTGCTGGTTTCACCGTTTTCTAAATAAGCATTACAAATGCAAGGTAGCTTCCACATCATACTGAATTTTTAAACCATAATCTAAAATATTCTGTCGACTTTTTTTTTATTTCACCGTTTTCTATATTAGCATTACAAATGCTAGGGAGCTTCCACATCATACTGAATTTTCAAAACTGAATGCATATGTACCAGGACATTACTTTTACTGTTCATACCCAACTATCCATACCTTTAACAAAAAGTTTTATGAGACTCAATTTTAGGTGAAAATAAAGTAATTAAATTTTAACTTTTAATGTCGCACTTTTCTGTTGCTCTCACTACCTATTTTTTTATTGCTAAGTTGAGGAAATGCACAGTGGGCAGCAGTATAATTTTTTGTTTTTTCCCTCTTTTGTTAAATCTTACTTTATTTTTTAATGGGATTGAAAAACTAGTTATTGTTTTATTGTGATCAAAAGGATTACTTTCATACTGTGATAGCATTTTAACTATTAAGAATTTAACTATGTTCTACATAGTTGCTGAAATATAATTATAAAAATTTAGATCATGCCTTCATTTTCCTTATCAGTGTTATTATTAAACTTAAATAATTTTGTTCATAGTTACCTTTTATTATTCTTGCTCTGCTTTTTTAGTATGTTATGTGCTTTTCTTAGTAGTGTTGCTGTTGTAAAATATTTATTGGCAAGCACAATCTGAGATTGGAATAGATTAAAAGAAATTAGCCAAATTAGAGGTGCTAATGAATGATTTGAAAAAAAAAAAAAAAAAATTCAGGATGGAGGATTTCATTAACAGAAAAGTATTAAAAAACAGAAAAATTTTTATTGCAGAAAAGTATTAACAGAAAAGTATTATTGCATTAAAAAAATTGAATGGGAAAATAATATTCTAGAAAGCTTATAAGCTCATAAAAAATTATTTATATTTTGTATGATATTTCTTATCAGAAAAACTCATTCATTTCTTCATGCTGATGCCACATGTGATTTTAGTATGAACAACTTTACCTTACAAATTTTGCTGTTTCTGCATCCATATCCCATGGAAATCACACACTTATGTCCAATACATGCATGAAATCTTAGATTTCTGTGAAACTGTGGGTTATAATTTTGTAAATTTGTATGGAATTATGCACATTATATATAACACATAAATACAAGTGAAGAAATTTTAGAGCACTGCATTTGATTTAAAACTAGCATGAAACAATAAAATGGTAAGATTTTACATTGCTTAGAAGAAAATTAAGTCTTATGAATTTAAAATGAAATGTGATCTTTTTTGACGTGTATGCTAGAATCACAATGCTTTTTCTTGCTAATAATAACATTATTAACCACAATTTTGGAAATTAAGTTCCACTCCTCCAGCAGTGCTGTTTTTGGGGCATTTAGATCTCTATGTGGAGAATATCAGGAGATCTTGCTAGCTACAGTATTTTCTGAATGTTTTCGCTTTCAAGGAATTTGTCAGTGAGGTTTGTTCAATATGGGTGAGCATTATCATCCATAAATAAAAAGTCAAATCCATATGCTGCTCTGAAAAGTCTTAATAAAGTTCTAAGACCTCATTCCGATACCTCTGGGTGGTCACAGATCAGCTGTTGAAAATGTGTAATGGTATGCATTTAATGGCTTCCTCTACATGTTAATCAATCAGATGATTTAGAATCAGATGCTAAACTAAACCTCAACTCATCAGTAAAGAGAACATGGGACCACTGGTATTCTTTCCATTTCTGGTACTCATTGCACCAGTCAAAGAGATCCCTTTTTTTGTTGTGAAGACAATGGAACTCATACTCTTGGCTTTCTGGCAAAAAAGCCTTTTTTCCCTCTTTCTTTAGGCTTCTGTGTACACGAGAGTTCCATTGGCAGTTGCAAGCTCTGAATTTAACTGCAGAGGAATAGATTTCCTGTTACGAAGGGCTTTTTATTTCTTGAGAAGAAGTTGTTATTCGTTTACTACTTCATTCAGGCTTCTTTATAACAGTTTTAGAGTTTTGAACTAGTTTTCATTCCAAAAAGATTGAAATGTTTGCACATCTCATTGCTTTCAAGATTGCATGCCCTGCTTCTAAATGGTCGATTATTCGCCACTTCACAGATCTTTCAGATCCCATTTTGGAGCCATAACAAATCATTTTTAGTCCTACATACTGAAATCAAACACTGTACTTCAGAAATTCACTCAGATGTTACCTTTGCACGAAGTGCTCGATTCATTGTAAAATGATGAATTTGATTATGAGAAACATAATTGCATATATCAGAAACTGTTTATTTGATTAGATTATGGTGATTTCCATCATGTTGTTACCTAATGTTTTACAACCAATCCTCACATTCCATATCACAGATTATGTTCTTACTACATTAATATAAATATTAACTAGACAATAGTGCACAATAAAAATTAAGCTTTATTTCGGAACTTCGCGCACACTCCCTGACAGCCGCCCGTCTCCTCTGCTCACTACTCTTAAGAAACTTCTTTTCTAGGTTAGCCATATTTATCGGAGGGCGCAAGGCGCACTCCTTATCTCCATCACCACAGAATTTGCCCCAGTTCTTTTGATGGCCATTCAAAGGAACGACATCAGGTTATGAAAATATCTCAAAGGATCCGTACTATCGGGTATTTTTTTTTCATAATTATAAAATTAGAAAAGATCAAAATGCAATTCAATATACAGTCAAAAGTCGTTAATCCGGACACCTATAATCTGGAATGATCTATAATCTGGACCTCAAAGCTACAAACTTTCTGCGCATGTGTTGATGCATATTGTGTGTATGCATACGCATATGCGTTTAAGCATGCTCGTTTAATGTATAGACGGTATAAGCTAAGCTAAAATTATCTAATTATCTATTTCAGTTAATGTTGCAGATTGTGTTGCTCCTTAATCTTCGAATTGGATCCGGCTTATTATTTTTTGCAGACTGTTAGAGCAATTTTATAAAAGTAAACTTGAACTGTCGATAATGTCAAATAGAATTTCTGATGCTGAAGCTGCCTAAGCGAAAGTATGTTTCGATGTCCATCAAACAAAAAGTGAAATTGCTGCAAAAAATGGATAAAGGCATATCCTTTGTTTTTCTAACCATTCCGAAATCTGTTTATCAATTTAACGCTTCTCTGGGGGGGGGGAGCGTCGCACGGTGCAATGAACTGGAAGTTGATCTGTCAGCACTATCCTCATCTTAAGCAGATGTTTTTATTTTATTTGGCTTATAATTCCTTACTAAATGTAGTATTTCATCTCGATGTACTCCGTCTTTGATATGAATTAAATCAAATTCCTCGTCATTATAAATATCCCAAATACACATCAAATAGTTTTCTTGTTGCAATTTTCTAATTTCGACTATGTGTAATGTATGCTTTACACTTTGTGCGCGTTGAAAGAAATGTTTAATAAAGTAAAGAAATAAATATTAAGCTTTTTTTTTTTTTTTGTAAATTTTGATACCCTTTAGACCATAATTGCTCTTTATTTCATAAATTAAAGGTTTCATATTTTTAATTTTATAATTTCTGCATGCCATCTTACCAGATTAATTACCATATATTAATGCGAGTGCAGTCGGTAAAATTTGATGATAAAGGATTTACATTTCAAAAATTACAATAAATTGCAATGTTGTAAGTTTTAAGGGAAAACGTTCCCGATCTGGTGACAGTTTGTGTCTTAGAGAGTTCGTTTGCAGATTTATTCTGCTGAACTGTCTTTAAGTCTTTATTTGTTTTCAGTTCAGGCAAATTAGAGTCCGAAAGCAAATAGGCTGGTTTCACACGGTCTATAGACACAGTAGATTTCAGACCGTTAACATCAATTGTGAAAGTTTTGTCCGTTCTAGAAAGGACTTTATGCGGACCTGTATATGGTTGGCACAGAGGTGGCTTTACTCGATCGACACGTAAGTATACATGCGTACACGACTTTAAGGTAGCACTTACGTAACATTTTTCTTGGCAATGTGCAGATGTTGCTATTGGATTCAATTGTTGCATTC